TCCACTTCCTGATGTCCGTCCATGGAGGGCGGATCCTGTGATCGACGTCCGGGAAACTCGTCATTTGAAGGTGGCGTGTAGATGGTCAGCTTCGATGCGTGAAAGACCCGATGCACTGTCAGGTGCGGTGGAATGTTGATCACGAAGGAAGGACCTGCGGGATCGTCTCCAACGGCAGAAGTGACTTCCCATGGTCCGAACCATTTCGGAAGGAGTTTGCGCGAAACGTCCTGCTCGAGCGCAAATTCCTCGGAGAGGACCCAAACAAGGTCTCCCTCGCGGAAGGGACATGGAAGTCGACGTCGGTTAGCTTGCTGCTGCATGCGGATCTGAGCCTTTTGCATATTTGTCTGGGCTTTGATCAGCAAGTCCCGGTACTTCCGGACGGAAGCGGGAGAGCAAGGGACATCTATGTCGGCAGCCTGTGGCAACAGGAGATCAGCGAAGATCCGTGCTTTCTCTCCACCGTGATGTAGCTCGAATGGTGTGACGCAGATCGCCGGGTGCACCGAAGTGTTGTAGGCGAACTCGATGTCGGGAAGCCGGTCAACCCAATCTTTCTGGTCAGGGCGTATGAGCGTACGCAACATCATCTGAGCAGTCTGGTGCGCTCGTTCCGTCTGACCATCCGTCTGCGGGTGCCGAGCCGAGCTCGGTTTCATTGTCGTACCGGACTCAGCCATGAGGGAAGTCCAAAAGGCTGACATGAAAGCTCACTATGTCTTCCGGAACACCTTGGTTGGTAATCCAACCGATGTGCAAGAGTCGTGCAAGCTCAAGCGCTGCAGCATGATAATTGCAAGGAAGGAAGCGAGCATACTTGCTCAAACGGTCAATGATCGTGAGAATACCGTCATGGTCGTGGCGATCGCGGGGAAATGGGTCAGTCACGTCCATAGCAATGGAGAGGCGTGGTGCCCGAGGGATCGACAGCGGTTTCAGTTCGCCGAAGGGGACTCGAGATCGACTCTTGTTACGGTGGCAAACTGCACATGACTCAATGTACCTCGTGACGTCGTGAAGGACGTCGGGCCAGTGAAAACGCTGGCGGAGGCGTGCTAGTGTGCGGTTCACGCCAAGGTGTGCCGAAAGTTGTGCGTCGTGGAATTCGCCGAGAAGACGAGCCCGTAAGATGCGATCTTGGGGCACAACTAACAAGTCATTTCCTCTCGTGTGAAGGAGAAGGAACCCGTCGGAAATCCGATAGTGGCTAGCCGGCGGGTGATCCGATGAAAGCTCCGCGTAAAGCTGAGAGTAAGTCGGGTCGGACTTGTAGCCTTTGACGAAATGCTGCTGCAGATTGTCATCGAGGTCGAATGCCGTGGTCACAATGGCACAAAAGTCGGGCTGTCGTGAGAGGGCGTCCGCAGCTCGATTGGCGGGACCGGGAATGTGGCACGGGKCAAAATCGAATTGGTCGATGTAATACATCCATCGACCGATCGTGCAAGTGACCGTGTCTTGCGTTTTATAAAAGGTCAACGGATTGTTGTCCGTATTCCATTCGAAACGCCGCCGACCAAGAAGAAAGTGGCGCCACCGTTTGAGAACGGTCACGAACGCGAGTAGCTCTTTCTTCCTAGCGTCGTCGAGAGTGTTGACGAGAGGCACCTTTTGGGAGAAATACTCAATCGGATGCCAACCGTCCTCGTGACACTATTCCAACACCGCACCAATACCGTATCCCGAAGCGTCCGTAGTCACTTGGGTGGGTAGGGTGGGGTCGTATATACGGAGGGCAGGTGCAGCTTGCATTGCTGCCTTCAACGTACTGAACGTGCAACGGGCTACGTCGTCGAACTCGAAGGGCACCTTCGAGGACTAAAGTCTCGACAAAGGAGCGGCCACTTTTGAGTATGACTCGACGAATCGCTGATAATATCCAGCCAAACCCATGAAAGAGCGTACATCCATCGTGCAACGGGGTTCCGGCCAATCCACGATGGCTTGGATCTTGTCCGCTAAGGGACGAATGCCTTTCGGCGTGACGAAATGGCCCAAGTACTCAAGCTCTTGCCTGGCGAATTCGCACTTGTCGAGATTCGCTTTGTACTTGGCTAGTCGCAAACGATTCAAAACAACGCGAAGGTGTACGATGTGCTCGTCCAACGTCCTACTATAAACCAAGATATCATCAAGGTAGATGAGGACGCTGCGATCGAGCAAGTCGCGAAACTCAGTCGTCATCGCTGCTTGAAACGTTGCGGGGGCATTGGTGAGTCCAAATGGCATGACGACCCACTTAAAATGCCCGTACCGCGTCTTGAACGCGGTCTTGTACCGGTCTTGAGGCTGGATTTCAATCTGGTGGTAACCGGACTTCAAATCCAACTTTGAGAAGTACGTCGCGCCGCCTAACCGCTCAAGGAGATCATCAATCCGAGGGAGAGGGCCGGCGTTCTTTACGGTTTGTGCGTTAAGTTTCCGATAGTCGATGCATAACCGTAGATCTTTGTTCTTCTTCCGGACGAAGAGAACAGGTGCATCGTATGGCGAGCAACTAGGGCGAATCCAACCTTTGTCGAGAAGATCATCGAGTTGTGCGCGAAGCACCTCGAGTTCCTCTTCACTCATGCGGTAGATACATCCACGCGGAGGGACGGCCCCAGCCTCGAGAGTGATTCCGTGACGTATGGGCCGATCCGGAACCGTTCCGGTGGGAGCCTCGAAGACGTCTCTATACTCGTCCAAGAGGTGAGAAATGCGTGGGTCCGGCGGTGACGCGGCTGGTCCGTCCGGTGAGGGGAGAGCATGCAAGAATACATGGCCCATCTCCTCGACGTCATTCCGAGCAATGGCGTCGCGAATCCGCGCAACGGAAACCATGTGACAAGCAATCGAAGTGTGAGGGGTCGCGACCGTACATGGGACTAACACTCCGTTCCGATCACGGATGTGAACGGTTCGGTCATGGAAGTTCACCGGATGATCGGCGCTACGCAACCAAGACATGCCTAGAATCATGTCGAACTTGGTGTCGAGGATGTCAAAAGACACCGGGTCGCACGCAAGTGCCGCAAAGTAGACCGGCACGCCGTCAACGCATCGGTCAATTGACTTTTGCGTGCGGCCGTCCGCGAGTGTAACTTGCGTAGGTTGCGTCTTCGTTCGAACGCGMGGGCCAAGACCTGCGCGGGCCATAAAGGCTTGACTCATGAAGTTGCGAGACGCTCCGCAATCAATCAAGGCACTACMGGTTGCCTTTCCGATTTGAATGCGGATATAGAGCAAAGGTGTGTCGGTTTCGGCGTACCTTTGGGTGGCGTGCTCACGGTCGATCTTCGCAAGATAGGAGCGGAGATCGGCAACCGCTACCCCGTCGTCCGTCAACGGAGCTGGTACTGTAGTGTGCAAGTAGAAGCGTAGATTTGYCATCAAGGCGTTGCAATGCGGCCTTGGCAATGTTCTGGTCGGGGGTAGAGGTATCCAAGCGAAATCCTCTCTCGTGAGCGAGTCAAGCTCCTCAAGTCTTGACCACGCCGTCGAGTCCCCGGAAAACAGTGGCGAACTGACCGGATCACTTGCCGACGGTGTACAGGCTACGCATACGCAATCTACATGCACATGGCTAGGCTGGTCTAATGGTGGTACCAGCTGGGCGGCATAATCCTCGTACGTAGCACGAGAATCAGCGACTAAC